CGTGCTCATCGCTGTACGTGAACTTGGTGCATGATCGTGGATCCGTGCTTTTGGTGCTCATCGTGAACTTGGTGCATGATCGTGGATCTGTGCTTCTGGTGCTCATCGTGAACTTGGTCCCTCATCGTGGCTCCGCGCTTTTTGTGTCCATCGTTGATCTCTTCTCTCTCTCTCTCTCTCTCTCTCTCTCTCTCTCTCTCTCTCTCTCTCTCTCTCTCTCTCTCTCTCTCTCTCCCCGCGGATACGTTCTCTTCCCCCTCAAACCTCCATCACCCACTCTAAGCTATGCAGCAACGGCACGTTCTACTCGAGCTATGCCTATTCTCGCTCTAGCTGTCACTCTTTGTCTCTCTCATATCTGCCTTCTTCCGGGCTAGCACTTGAGCAGCAGTGCTCCAGCCTTCAGACAACGCAAGGCGGAGTGAGGGGAACAGCTGTGGCAGGTCAAGCCTTTGTAGCGTTAACTTGACCCCGCCTGCCTCAGGTTGAATCCTGGGATGGCTGAGTTTTCTGTATCTGAGTGGCCAAGAATTCCTCGTGGGCACCCTGACCCACTGAGCCCTGGAAGGTTCTGGAGACTGTTGCTGAACTGTTGATTTTGGTAGGGCTGGCTTTGACTTCTAGAGGCCGTCAGCACCTCGGTTTGACCCTTGCCCCTAGGCCTACTGACCTACAGACTTTGGGGAGCTCCCTCTCTAGAGGCTGTAGGACCAACTTTTGACCCTAGAACTTTGGCTTTACCGAAAGCTATGACCCCAAGGCTTGTTCTGTGCTGGACCTCGGTTCCTTGCAAAAAGAAAAGGGCAAAAAAAGTTTTAAAAACACACACCGAAAAACACAAAAGCAAAGCAAAACCAAACAGAATTAAAGAGACTGCGAATGCAGCTAGCAGTCTTCCGTACACGTATGTTGCCAGTGGATATAGCATTCCCATTGTGCTTTTCTTATTTGCCGTCTTCTGGATTTTGTCATTGGTGTGCACTGGTTTCTCCTTGCGTGGCATAGGTGAAGGGAACACTGGGCTACTTGGACCCTGAGTATCAACGAACACATGTTGCAAGCTTGGCGAGTGATGTGTACAGCTTTGGTGTGCTCATGCTCGAGATAATTGCAGGCAGGAGGCCGATTGACCCTACCCGACCCGCTGATGAGATCAACCTTCAGTATTGGGTGAGTTTCTCTTACTCTGTGTGTGTGTGTGTGTGTGTGTGTGTGTGTGTGTGTGTGTGTGTGTGTGTGTGTGTTTGTGTGTGTGTGTGTGTGTGCTTGAAAGGGTGTGTGCGACAAGGCTCATGATGATAAGAGACATAATTACCATCAAATCTCCGAAATAATTTATCGGCGCACCTTAAGAACAAAAACTTGTAGGCACTGTGCAGACGCATCTGGTACCGGAAGGTCGGAAATGACTATGCCGGACTACACAAGCCTGCTCAGGAACAAACACTTGTAGGCGTGGTGCAGACGCATCCTGTACTGGAAGGTGGAAATGACTATGCCGGGGCGAACTGGAACACACACACTGACACATCAAACAGACGCCACAAGATGGGGAGAAGAAAAGACAATAAGGCAAAAGGCAGGGACGCAATGACAACACGCAGCAGCACGGGGGAGGCGGGAGGGCAGACCATACATAAACACACAATGCAAAGAACGACAAATGAAAAGTGCAAGTTTGAAAAGACAACCCAAGCATAGGAAAACAGGCAGCAGCGAAAGACAATGGCTGGAGGGCACTGGGGAGGCGGGAGGGCAGAAGACACTCGAACACTAAGCTGTTAGGACCTGCCAAACACAGACTGAGACACACAGCTGATTTCTGAGTCTTGCCAATGGAATGTATGCCTTGCTGAGTTTCCCACTTGTTGCTGAGTTTTCTAAGTCTGAGTGTGTTACATGCCCAGTTGGGCGATGTACATATAAACCGAGGATCCGCAATGTGATAAAAAGGACTGAATGGACAATGCAGTACAAGTGGAATCTCAACAAGCAATGTGCATTCCGATACATACAAAATGGTGTTTTATAGCGCCGTGGAAGATTTAGATACAAGTCCTGACCTGACCGGGACTGACCTCATTCACATAGTACAAGATAGCGAAGCAGAATGCTAGAATACTAATGACTAGCCCAATCGATGTTTCAATGCAGACCAAACATACATCATGCCCATCACAAGGTGTGAAGGGGGCCTGGCGCTGTACACAGGAAAGAGGCGCCAGGTCCAGACATACACAGACGAAGAGGAGGGCATCAGACGGAGAAGAGGAAGTGGGAGATGGGAAAGTCGTCAACACCAAGTCTCGTTACCAGTCCCAAATAATCCCTCTTCGAAATGTCTGAAGTCCCATGTCGAGTCTGGATCCAAGGTCATCAAGCTCTCTCTCTCTCGTAGTAGTAGTAGTCTGCTGATGCAGTGAAGTCAGATAGCGAGAGGGTGAGAAGGAGATGGTGGACTGAGAAGAGGAAGAAGAAGAATTCTCTCTCTCTCTCTTGTATGCCAGGTACTAACCTGTGAAGATGGCGCTGTGCTGCAGGTACCTCGAAGACGAAGCTGGAGCAACGGCGCTTGTAGGTAAGTATCCCTGGCCTCCGCCCAATCTCTCTCTCTCTAGTCCTACTCTAGCTATGGCGCCCAGCGCTGAAGACTACAACTAACGCTACTACTACTCCTGCAGCGCTCCTCCAGAGTGCTGCTGCCGAATCCTGAAGACTACTGACTGCCTCCTGCCTACCCGTGAAGTGCATGGGAAGTCCCTATGTACTACCTCGGCCTGCCTCCTGACTGCCTCCGACTGCCTGCAGTTGCAGGGCGGGCAGTCCAGGAGGCTGCTCTTGCCAATGCCGAATTGAGCCAGGGCCTGGTGCTGCAGCTGTCATGGGAACAGGCCAAAAATAGCCTGTTCCTAAACCCTGGTTTGGTGCCTGAGTTTCAGGGCAGGTCGGTCTGATGACAGACCAAAAATGGCCCTTCGTTTCAGGCTAAAAAGGCTACTGCCATTTTTAGTCTCAAACGACACAGGGTCTGTAGGCCCCTGTTTTTCAGGCTTTCGGGCTGAACAGACACGGGGCCTGTAGGCCCTGGTTTTCAGGCTTTCAGCCTGAGGGACGCAGGGCCTGGAAAATGGCCCTCGTGTGCAGGCGCAACATGTAACCCCCCCCCCTCTTTATGAAGTCAAGCCGGGGCGAGGGCGAAGCTGACGATCTGAAGGTGAAACCTGGATGCAGGTGCGGCGTGGAGCCGAAGAGACCGGCTTGCCTTGCATCTTGCTTTCGTTGCATGCGAGAATGTCTGGAGCTGTTGCTTGAAGTTCCGCACGGGTCAACCAACGGTCAGCGCGGTGTGTGCAGTATGCAAAATGTACTAAGTACTCGGTTGGCCTGTTGTCGTAGTGTCGCTGGGAGATGATGTCGCCGACCTCTTGAAAACCGTCCATAGAGGGTGGGTCTTGTGATCGTCGCCCGGGAAAATCGTCATGTTCCGCTGGCGTGTAAGGAGCCAACTTGGAGCAATGAAAGACCGGGTAGAAGGGCAAGTGGGCGGGCACCTGAATGGTGAAGGAAGGTCCCTCGAGTGCATCCCCAGGGGGTGCCACGATCGGCCAAGGCCCCATCCATTTCGGGAGGAGCTTTCGAGAGATATCTTGTTCAAGGCTGAATTCCGCGTCGGAGACCCAAACGAGATCGCCGACGTGGAATGGGCAAGGAAGACGTTGGCGATTGGCTTGTTGGCTCATGCGTTGCTGCGTCTTGGCCATCTGGTCGCGTGCCTTGACAAGTAGCTCTTGCATCCGACGCAAGAAAAGAAGATGGTCGTCGTTCTCGGCCGTTCGTGGAATGATGGTGTCCAACGGCGAAGTGACCGGCGAGCCGTGCTCGAACTCGAAGGGCGACATCCCGATAGCCGGGTGGATGGACGAGTTGTAGGCCAACTCGAAATCCGGCAGCCGCTCGACCCAATCCTTTTGGTCGGGACGGATGATAGTGCAAAGGAGAACGTGTGCGGTCTGATGCGCCCTCTCCGTTTGGCCATTGGTTTGGGGGTGGCGAGCCGAACATGGCTTGAGAGATGAGCCCCATTGTTTGATGAGCGCCAACCAAAAGTCGGACATGAACCGAGTGTCGCGGTCGCAGACGATTTCCTTGGGGTAACCCTTGGTTTGAATCCAACCGGTGTAAAGAACCTAGGTCAACTCCGGTGTCTTGGCATGATAGCGGCAAGGCAAAAACATGGCGAACTTGGTGAGTTGGTCGACCACCGTGAGAATCTCATCCACTCCGGTCTTGTGCTTGGGGAACGGGCCGGTAATGTCCATGGCAATCGCTTCCCTTCGCCTCAACGGGACCGGTAGTGGTCATAACTCGCCGTACAGACGATGGTTGCGGGATTTGCAGCGTTGGCAAACCTCACATGACTCGCAATAGCGTGTGACGTCGCCGAGAAGGTCGGGCCACCAAAATTGCTCACGAAGTCGGCCAATCGTGCGATTGACTCCAACGTGTCCGGAGGCGGGAGCATCGTGGAACTCGCCAAGAAGTCGTGTACGCAAGTGAGGATCACTCGGTATGCAAAGAAGATCCTTCCCCCGCGTGTGGACAAGCAAGTACCCGTCTTGGATCTGGTAGTGAGAAGGCGCCGGATTAGGAGAGGAGCAATTCGCGTACTTGTCGCGAAACTTGGGGTCGGCTTGGTAGCCGCGGATGAAGCTGTCCCGTAGGTCGTTGTCGATCTCAAAGGTTGAGTAGACCGCGGTACAATGATCCGGATGCCGTGAAAGAGCAGCCGCAAAACGCAGAAGTTGGTTCTTAATCCTCGTCGTGATATATACATGGAGCTTCCGCAAGCCGCTCCGGCCGAGTGCGCCAGCCATACCTCTCGCGAGCCCCTACGACAGGATAGGGCCTACGCGAGGCACGACTTACCTCCACCTTACGGGAGTTGTCACCTCCCTTTGGTGGGCGTATCCCCGCCGAGCTACCAGTCTACAGTACGAAAGCTGATGAGTTGCAATCGCAGAGGTGGACCAGTCGAGGGCGTTTCTCGTTCGTTGTAGCATAGGGGGTACGCGCGGTACTACGCCTCTATCGAACCCGCACGCGAACTGGCATCTTGGGGGGGCTGAGGTCCCAAGCGCGACTCGTCGCCGGTCGGCTAGGACGCATCCCACACGCCACGCGCACACCACTATAAAGAACATAAAAATAAAAGGCATACACATACACACATACATATACATATACAGAACGACACTGAACAAACAACGCGACAACACTCCTAGTCCCTTAGTAGTCATCCCATAACTTTCCGATGCGGAAATCAGATAGGTGTCGCGCGTGAGACTTAATATAAAACCGCGCGGACGCAGGGCTAACTCATATCGACTCGCAATGCAAGCGTACGCAAGCGGTCGCAATGATGGCGTACTATGTAGTACCCATACTCATTCGATCCTCGTTAATCTCGAGGGTCGCGTTCGACACCCAAGTGTCGGCTGGCACGCGCCTTGAGGGAATGATCTCTCGACGCTGGACAACCGCCAAGTGCGGTTGAGAACCACACCCTCTTCTGCACCCTGCAGAGAGTGGGTGGTACACAGGTTTATACCTGTGGTAGCAATCGTCTCTTATGCCCTGGAGACGAGCTCCATCATCTAAGGCCTGGAGAGAAGTCAAGGGGTTTGACTTTGACGGCTGCCACCGACTACAACGTCCAACCATAAAAATCTCTAAAAAGCAAAGGATAAGGGAAAGTCTTCATTCCCCTTGAAAACATAATTTGTTGAACCCTTACGCACGGTCACGGTAGGCCGCACGAAACACTCAAGACATATGTATGCACATATATATAGAGGGTTATTAATATAGGACGATCACTTCTGACAGTCACAATGGGACTCCTCTCAATCATATATGTATGTAATCGCAGGCAGTCACATCCAAATTCCAAACCACAAACATACCTGCAATCACATCAAAGATCCAACAAAGTCCACACACTACACGGGGTCAACTTGAACCATTCTCTACGCTCATACCCCTTGCTTTAGCCATACAAACCTCAACCTTAGTGCACCCTTCCAGCAAATAAAATACTCAGTATCTTTGTTAAATGACCATTCAATAAAGTCCGGGTAAAAACACAATGAAACAGATCAAACCACAGGGCT